CTATAAATTAATCAACAATTATCTCATTAATCACACTATCGTAAATAGGCCTATTGAAGCATTATTGAAGTATTATTAATTATTCACGAAAGCATTATTCGAGCACCTTTATTATTATTATTATTATTATTATTATTATTATTATTTATTTTTTTATATATATTATTTATCAACCATATTAACATTGAAAACATGGATATGCATATGTGATTAAAATTATCGCAGAAAATAAACTTATAAGATTATTTTTTAAAACAGAATCAAAGAGATAATGTTTTTATTTAAAAGCAGGTTTTGCATGGACGTAATTTTATTTAATATGCTGATTATTACTATTTCATTAATCAAACTATCGTAAAATTATTATTATTATTATTATTATTATTATTATTATTATTATTATTATTGGATTGGATTGGATTTATTCGGTGTAAACACCAAGGATAACCCACGAAAGTCTAGAAGAAGAAACAGAAAAACAGAATCAAATAGATAATGTTTTTATTTAAAAGCAGGTTTTGCATGGACGTAATTTTATTTAATATGCTGATTATTACTATTTCATTAATCAAACTATCGTAAAATGTTTATTATTATTAAATTATTATTATTATTTGTTTATTTTTTATATGTATATGCCTAGGCCTATATAATATATATTGTATACATTTAATAATTTAATTAGAAATAATTATTTAAACTAATTGTTAAACAAATATAATATAATGTTAACAATAACATAGGCTAAGCTAGACCTAATCAATTATTGATATGATAAAGGCAAATATTTAGAACATCATTAATACAACACCTTCATGACAGTCCGGCCCTCCAAATCTTGTTTTAATATATAACTGAATTCACTTCAATGATATATTTTGATCTTCATTCATTATTATTATTATCATTTACTTTTTATTATTATTTATTTATTATTATTATTATTATCTGTATTATTATTATTATTATTATTATTATTATTTTACTTTGCCATTAACATTATCATTGTTTCTCTGGAAGGTGTCTTGTACAGGGACATGTTCCTTTTTGCTTAACCAGTCTCATTACGTTTTGAGTGAAATAAAATTATGAATTATGAATTATACCAATGTCATCTATCGATAAAAACATCGATTCGATTAATTAACAGCAGCTTTTTGCACTGTGGACGTGCCGATAGAAAACAGCAACTTTTTGGCACTGCGGCAGTGCCGATAGAAAACGACAGCTTTTTGGCACTGCGGCAGTGCCGATAGAAAACAGCAGCTTTTTTTGGCACTGCTGCAAATCGGCCGATAGCCACTACCCAAGTTTTCGCTGCGAAGATTTGGAACTTGTAGAATTGGTGCATGAAAAATACTTTTGCTTTCAAGTAAGCTTCAGTTCTTTAATAACGATACTAAAAAAAAATCATAGTTAATAGGCTTTGGGGCGCTAATGCACTTTAGTACTGTAACACTTATATCTTCAAAACTTGTCTTTTTACCTACTGTGTGCTCCTAACAATATCTTACGGTGTTTCTTCATTCAGATTTTGCTTAATAACATCGGTTTTTAGCATTTTATTACTAAAAACCACTGCCTATGGCTCCATCCGTCATCTCCAATGGCGAATTGGCGATCGAGCCTAATGCTGTTGCCAGAATTCAAACTTTATGAGCAAAATCTGAATGAAGAGGATAAAATTTGAATGAATTTTTCTTATTTTGAGACTGCTTTAGTTGTGATACAAAACAAAATTAAGTGTCCCACTAGTTGGCTGCAGTGCTAAAAGATATATTCCCCTTGTTTCTGTAACTGATTCAATAAAAATACAATTATAAAGAATGTATGTCATCGTTGTATGAAAACATGCCAAAAAATGATTTTACGTTTTTTTTTGTGTTACCTGAATAGGGGTACCTCTATTAAAGTTGACACTTTTTTTAAAGTCCCGAAGGTGTCCCCTTAATAGGGGTTCTACTGTAGTAAAATATCTTCAATTAAATTCAATGTCTTTATTCGTCATCTTCGATCTTTATTATATCATTAGCTTTATTATTGAAATTCGTGTTAATATTAATTATTATCGTCATTACTATCATCATCATTACCTCCTCCAAAGCAGTGGTGGCGCCAGTGGGGACGAGGAGGGCACCCACTCCCCGGGCAGGCCTGGTCCCCCCTGTCGTCTTACGTCTCGACGAGGTCGTCGGGTCAAAAATTTTATAAAGATATATAATTTGCTATCCAAATAACGTTATTTTAATTGCCAATTTCTAATATTGTGGTACAAAAGTACAACTTGGACCATACTAAGCCATAAAAACTAACCCAACCCTACCAGGGATTTTTTTTGTATTTCGGGACTTGGACCGAGGCCTAGTCGGCCCCTTGGTTCGGACCCCTTGTCAACAGGTCAGAACCGTGTCAAATGTCTAGAGCCATCGCTGCTAAGGAGGTTATGTATTCACCTATGTTTGACTGGTAGCAAGATTTCGAAAATACTGAAGAATAAGAGCATTATAACATTTAATATAATGGTAGGCTTACATAATAATCTAAGAAAGAGATGATTAACTTTTTAGAAGAAAAGGTTAAAGGACAATTTGTATTATTATTATTATTACTATTATTATTACAGTATTATTATTATTATTAAAGTATTATTATTATTATTATTATTCATGTTGTTATTATTAGTATTAATTATAATAACAGCATGAAAATTACCTTGTTATGTAGGCCTATATTTAAAGCTTTTGGACCGATAAAACTTAACTGTAAAGGTAAATATTTTTCTATAATAATAATAATAATGATGATGATGATTTATTATTATTATTATTATTATTATTATTATTATTATAATTATTGTTTTTATCATTGTTATTGTTTGTTGGTAACGGCTTTTTAACAGATGGTCCTTAATACCATCCGCCATCTTTAATGATTCTTTGCCTCATGCATGAACGTGCGTCTTCAACCTGGGAAAGATAATGATTAAAGAATTGCTTTTAGAAGTATACAGTTATTCTGTAATTCTAGCCCAGCTTTGTCGGTCTTAAAAGCAAGAATTAATTGGGCGCATTTAGACGAATACCATATTGATTAGACGTGATTCGTAGCTTATCTTTCAAACCTACTAAAAAATTCAACCCTCTGGAAATAGACCGAGTTCACAAATAGGAAGTATTTGTTACAATAAAATGAAATAAAATATTATTAATATTTATTGATATTTCATTCACACCCAAATGGAACCCATTAAGGATAAACACGCGATTCTTGATAAACATCAGTAGGATTAGACTTTTTTTTTCTTTGTGAAAACACCAAGAATAACCCACTCACGTCCAAACACTTAATGTTAACTTCTTAGAGTGTGATGTCCATTCATCTAGGGGTGCCATAATCATAAATTGTCCTACCCTCTATTTCTGAAGGTCCCTCCCTGGCCCTCCCATTTCCTGGATCGCCACTTAAAAAATGTTTAATACTATTCATATTACATTTTCAAAATCTATTAAGACATCAATATATAAAAAATTGTCTGAGCGCGAGGGGGATCCGCCGACTCGACCTCAGAAGGGCTCTGCCTGTAGGCGCCGCCACCACCACCACCACCCCAACCCCTCCCCCAATTTGGTCCACTTCCCACAAATTAGAACCCACCCAATAAAAATCCTGCGTACGGGCCTGCATGACAATATTAGGCTAGTACAGTATTTAATAATACTAATTATTATTATTATGAACATACACCTACTCACAATATAGTTGGGACTTCTAAGATACTGAGCTAATGAATTTGAATAGCTTTATTTATTCAGGTAAGTTACAACCTTTCAATCGAAAAAAAATAAATAAATAAAAATAAACTAGCAGCCGCGTTATCTATACCGTTTCTTTTTTCTTTTTTTTTTCCTTTTTTCTTTCTTTTTTATTTGATTTGTTTCGAAGAACATAAATGGACTTGTCCAGAGATTCAAAGTTTTTAGTTTAAATAACTAATCAATGAGAGCGGGACTTGGAACACGCAGCCTCACAAACGTGTTTACGTAGTGGTTTTGGTGGAATCAACAATTTCCAAGGGGCGGGCCTTAGCGGAATGGTAGATTGGCTTGTGATTAATAATTTAAGAATTTTCTTAGTTAAAAAGTTTGTAAAATGAGCAAAGTCTAAATTTTCCGACCAGTTTTGAGTAATTAAATGGTAGATTTTGACTGGGTTTCTAGATTCTATAATAGATGGCTAAATCATTTAGCCTTGACAGAATGGGTACAAAAAAGAAATTTAAAAGAACTCGTATTCTGATTTTCATAAAACAATGATCAGTTATGCAGCTAAAATAATATCAAAAACGTCGAATATTTAACGTCATTCAACTTCATTAGGAGGTAGAAAAAGCCAAGGGACGGAACAAATCGTTCCAAATCAAGAATATGAAACGCGCAAGTTAATTAAAAGAAGGATTATAAGATCTGTTGTAGTCGGCTAATTGACTAAGTCATAATTAATAATTATGGAAGTAGTATCGCTATCAGGCAACAATTTGCTTAACAAAATGATTAGATAGTTAGACGATTCTTGGTATTATGATTTATTCATTCGTGACACAGTTTTATAAATGGAGTCAATGAAATATAATATGCCTAGACCTACACTATAGCAAGGCTTAATAATGTTATAATTAATATATACAATAATTTTACAGTATTATAACAGTCTAAAGGTCTTCACTCTGGCTAAGAAACGCAAAAAATAATTCAGCAACATGAATGTAAGCGTTCTGTAAAGAGCATATTACTGATTAAACCCCTTATATGTAAGTGAAGTATATATAGGCCTAGGCCTAATCAACGAAAAGTTCAAAAGCCCGACACACACTTCGTCGTGCTTCATCGTTCAGCAGACAAATCCATCTGTACTCCTCGTGAGCGCTTGACGGCATGAAGCCGTCTGTTAAATGTCGATGGGAGACTGAGCGGATTTTTAAAAACGATCCGTTGCGCGCACCTTGTCGTGTTGCGTAATCAATGGAATTGCTTCGGTCGACGATGAGTACCCGGCTTTATTCCCAGTGTCCTGTATTTAAATCTACCCAAATACCATGATCATTTTTCTCACGACCATTTGCGAAGTCTTGCATCTTTGTAGCCTACTCTATGCTGAAGGGCTAATTACATTATCTTGTGAGAATGAACAAATATATTTTAAATAAGAAAAATCGTAAATTTAAATGATTTAAAAACGCAGTTTTAACAAAACTGTGAGTGTATTTTAATTGTTTTGTTTTTTCAATTTCCTGTTTCGAAAACTTCTACAGTAAGTGGAAATTATTATGTTGGAACAACAGTTTTAAAATTATCTACAATATTATTATTATTGATGATGTTAATAATGATAATAATAATACTAATAATAATTATAGTAATGATAATGAATATATGAGGATGATAATGATGATGAGGTTGATGATAATATTAAATAAATAAATAATATTAATTAACTTTACATTTATATAGCATATTATGCAAAAGCTTTTATGCACTTCCCAAACAATAGAGTATTATAACAAAATTAAAGTAAACCCTAAATGGAACACATCACATTTTGGTCGAGTCTTCATCAAATCTTGGGTTTTTGAAGACTTTTCCAGTAGGCCTAAGGCCGACATGCCAAACATGATAAATACTTCAGTCGCTTGGTATAGCCTAGTCACTGCCTTGCCTACTGTAATTGAAAAAAGTCATAGACGATCCGTTGATGGTATAAACATTTTGTGACAACGAGGAATTCAAAGCTGTATTCTGTAAGTTCCTTTGTTTTTTAGAGGAAAACATTTTATGTTCATAACAGGAAACTCAGTCTTGTGGTTATGTTTATGGTCACTGTATTTGTCACCTTTTGCGTCCTTGCTGAAGTAAGAATAGTTAATAGCCTCTGTTACGCACTGTTTCTGAAAGTAATTGAAAGATTATATTATTATTCAATATGTAATGTAACGCAGTTGGAGTTATATAGCGCTTTATACTGAAGTCTCAAAGCGCTCGAGGTATAGAATAGCTCGTACAGCAACTTTCTTCTCCTTAAGTGTCTCTTCATGTCTGAGCTACCCGGTAAACCGGTACCAGCTGTCTCTCATCTATCCACAACAGGGCCTGTGTTACCAGTACACCGGGGTAAACCCCTTCGTCTCGAAATATGTACTGGGTTCTTAAAATGCACATGAGCCAAATTGTGTACACTGGGGCAACGGTTTATAGTCCTTTACCGAGAAGACGTGTTCCACCACTAGAACGACGGCCGAGAGTGCCGTTCGATATTATGGCTGTACGTTGCGGCACCCCTGCCACACCGCTCGGCCATTCGACTTGCCACTAAGGGCCTATCTATCTGAATTCGTGTCTTCTTAATGGGAAGGAGGGAGGGGTGTCTCCTGGTACACCTATTCAGAGGAGCAAAACATGTGAATGTGATTGGCCGCACTGTAGTGTTAAAGGATATATTCCCCCGTTACACGGTTCACGGAAATGTGTCACAGTATAGGGACACCCACTGCATAGGTCTAAAGGAGAGTTTCTATATGTAGTAGGAATAATAGTTAAAACTTAAACTGCATATACAATAAACTAACTCGCAACAGTGGCGAGGCCGATGGGGTCCGGTGGATGGGGGAACAAGCTCATCTTGGGGAACTTAGACCCCTCGTCCGGAAAGAAGTCAACCAATTGTTATCGGAGAACACTGCTGTAAAAAAGTCTAAGTATTTAGATGTGCTGCTTCAATTCTGAAAATCTGCTCAACACAGTGTTGACAATAGTTTGGTTGAAGCCTGGATGAGACCCTCTGACAAGGACCAGGGCCCCTCGTCGATGAATCTCTGGCGCTGTCACTGCCTGACTCGTATTTGATTAAAACTATAATTAAAATGTTAAAAATAAAATTTTATTTTTCTTGTGTCCAATTCCAAATATTTGAAATTGATTTTTTTTTGGCTGGGCCTATGGGACCCACTGCAGCCGCAGGGCAGAGCCAGTACCGACGTATAACGGTTACATTGTCCTTTATCCCGCATCACTTTCATGCAAGTGTTATTCGAAGAGCAGAGCAATCTGGCACTCCAAACCCGACAATCCCTCACGGCCAAAAGTTCAACTGTTCAAGATTCTTCTCACAAATTTTAATGTATTTTAATGTTACTTTTATCTCCATATCATGTCTTGTGCTTATGCTTGATTGATGTTTTAATGTTTTAATATACATTTTTGTGTAAACATCCTGTAATTCAGCCTGGGCTGCGATTTTGATGTAAATAAAAAGCTGTAACTGAAGAAACTGAACTGATTCTTACCTCCTTCATAGCGCCAATATTCATCCGGTTCAGAGCTATAAGTAGTCATTTTTTCTTGTAAAAACCTCTGTATTGTATTTAAATATAAAATCATGGTATTAAAGTAACTGTACAATTGTTTCCGCAGAAAGAATTTTCACCTTTTTGATATTCAGTTTTTTTAGGAAGTATAATATTTACCTCATGTATATATTAAAGATGCATTGAATCTCAAAAATTAATTTTAAAATAATGCACAAGAGAGTGTCTCTGTAAATCTTTGGACTTCTCGTCCATACTGCATTAGTGCTATGCAAATGTTGTGACGTCAGGCACGTTGAAAAGAATGAATAGAATTCAATCAATGCTGGCACTA